AATGGCTTTTAAACGATTTTTAAAACTAGAAACTGAGACGGGTTGATTCTAGAATCTGACCTTTAGGGGTGTTGACTATGGATCTTGGCTTGAACAACTCAGTGGCTGTTGGCATCAGAAGCATTTGTAAAGTGGGGGGGACATATTGCGCGCGCGTGTGTATGTGTGTGAGTGGGGGGGGGTCCTCCCCCAGAAAATTTTGAATAAAGTAGATGCTATTTTCTGCATTCTGGTGTATTTTAACAGGTTTTAAACATCTAAGTTTACAGTAGTCCCTCGATACTTCGCAGTTCAACTTTCGCGGACTCGCTCTTTCGCAGTTTTTTCCACGTGATCGTACACAACACACGACTGTCAACTTTAATATTACTCACAGGATTGGGACGATATGGGATAAAAAGTTAACGGGAACCAACGAGAGTGGGGACAATCAATAGGACAAAAAAAACTAAACAAAAAAATTACTTTGGACAGGTGCCGCCATTTTGTAGTTTTCTTTCAATAAACCTATACTGTAACGCAGGTCAAAAGAACTACACGGCCCAAAAGCCAACAGTGATTCCAGTCACTGCTTTCTGCCGAAATGGCAACAATGGAGGGAGCAAACACAACATGCAGACGGCAGCGGGGTTTGGCCTGGTTCTAGTCACCGCGGTGCTGGTCTGGACCCGGCCCAAGGTGGTGGACTACATCCTGTATAGCCTCACGTGCGGAGTGTCCTTCCTGGAGCGGCAGCACGTGCACATCAGCCTGGACAGGGTGGTGGGCTTCGTGCTGCAGGGTAGGTCTGCCGAACCGAAACTGAGCCGCAGCTGCTGGTCTGCAGAGCTGGCGAGTACCCACATTAAACTTTGCAGTACTGTACAGTACATATACGTATGTTGTTAAAATTATGTAGGTTTAAGAGTTTATAACATTGCAAGAGTGTGGGAAGGGTTTATAAAACCCTAAATATATATAAATACTAAAATAAATATAACGTTCCTACTTCGCGGTTTTTCACCTGTCGAAGGGGTGTCTGGAGCGTAACCCCCGTGATAATCGAGGGACTACCGGATCTACATAAGTAAACACACGATTCAATAACTATTTTAGAGTTAATGGGAGAACAAAACGTAGTGCTAAGCTAGCAGCATGCAACTTGCTAGCTAAGATGCTACAGACGTAGCACTCCACGTTACATTACACAACCTAATAAACGCTTTGTACAAAATCAGTTTAGTGTTAACTGATCATAACAAACAAAGAATAAACTTGTGCGTCCTGAAGTTGCAACATATATTTACATACAAAACACATAAAGCAAAGCAGAACTAGCTTTAAGCATTAATATTTAACCGTTAAGCATACAATTTAATGACAGAAAATTGAGGATTTACCTGTAGTTACCTTGTACAGAAGAACCTGTGGTACTTCCTGTTTATAACTGTTGCATGCAGCAGATCAAGACGTCAGCCGCAGGGCTTTATTAAAAAAAACATCATAGATTTGACTGGCCTACATTCTGGAGTATGTTAGTCTGGCCAGACCAGGATTTTCTATTGATCCAGTTTTGTTGATCCATTCATAAGTTTTTCTTATATCTTCAGACTTTTGGCAAATTTTCTTGTAATTACTGAAAAAATATTTGATTAGTTCTTTAATTTTAAGCTGGATAAAGTTTCTAATTGAATGAAGGGTTTCAGCACAGCCACTTCTCAACGTTCATCAACTTTCTAAACAGTTTGGGACTCATTTTATAATAATAAACGTGTATAACTCTAAATAAATGTGAGTATAATTCCGAGTAATAAAAACATGAGTATAAACCCGAGTATATAAATGTGAGGATAAATGTGAGTAAATAAATGTGAGTATAAATGTGAGTATATAAATATGAATATAAACCCGAGTATATATATGAGTATAAATGTGAGTATATAAATGTGAGTATAAATGTGAGTATAAATGTGAGTATAAACCCGAGTATATAAATGTGAGTATAAATGTGAGTATAAATGCGAGTATAAATGTGAGTATATAAATGTGAATATAAACCCGAGTATATAAATGTGAGTATAAATGTGAGTATATAAATGTGAGTATAAACCCGAGTATATAAATGTGAGTATAAATGTGAGTAT